GGCTCGGGGGGCCCCTGCCGCTCCTGCAGCGCCCAACGGGAGTTTCCAGTAGAAAAAGCTTCCAAGACCAAAAGCCAGGCAGAAGAAGCTCGGGGTTTGGCAGGGAGTTTGGCTCCTTCCAGCACGGGCCAGCTGCGGCTCAAAGCCACAAGCCAACCACCTTTCTTTGTGGGAAGGAGCAGCCCAGCAGGAGCTCCTACTGCAGCCTCTCCAGCCCATGGGGGGTTTTCTCTGCAGCCAGCGGGCACAGTGGGCACCCAGCAAGAGCTGTGCCAGGATGACAGAGGCAGCACAGGGGCACCAAGTGACCCCCCTGCATGCCCCGGGGACCCCCTCGTGTCCGGGCAGTCAGTTTTGGCTTGGCCAGTCTCTAGGACCTACTGAGAAGATGGGCTCCCTAGCAGCTAAGTGTACGAGTGAGCTCCTGCTTCCTCCTCCTCCTCCTCCTGGTCTGAAGGGGTCACTCGAGTTGCCCACAGGATTTGGCAGGAATGAAACTCCTCCAGCCTGGAACTGCAATCCCCAGCACAGTTACACACAAAGGAACAGCCAGTCCGTGGTTTAATTCACATTCCATGGTGGAAATGAGCCTGTGGCACACACCAGAAGCAGCTGCTTTATTCCCAGTCTTCCCACTCTTCATCATCCAGCTGCAAACAAGAGCAACAAGCCTCAGTTTGCTTCTGTAACTCCAGAGCCATCCACCAGCAGATCCTCCTGCCCAGGGCACCTGACACATCCTGCTCCACACCCTCAGAGGGATCTGCTTGCTTGGTCCTCCTTGGGGAACCTGCACACTCCTCCCTCTCTGGGCACACCCAGACAGCCCCTCTCCACTCCACCTCACACTCACACCTCCCACAGTAAGACCTCAAGCTAAGCCTGTCCTCAAGGAGTGAGTCCTGCCTTGGAGAAGCCTCTCAGCTGGCAGAGCTCAGGCAGCAGCACCCCGAGGAGCTGCTGATGGTTCCTGGGAGTGACCTCCTGGCCTGTTGGAGTGAGGACCTTCCCCTGACTCACCTCCCCAGACACCTCCACCTTCGAGAGCGCCAGCTGCACCTCCTCTTCAGTCATGTCCAAATCAAAGTCCTTTTCCCAGTCCTCACTGATGTCTGTGCTGGAGCCTGGAACCACAAACACGACGGGTGAGCCAGCAAAGCTGCACGTGCTCTCTGGCTCCAGCAGGCCCACAAAGCCCTGCTGTTGAGGAGGCCCAGATCCACCTCAGCCTGCCTGAGGAGGAAAAGCCTCCCCCATGCTGAGAGCAGGCTGCCAGCTTGTAATGGAGATGGGATGGACCAAACTGTGCCTCCCTCACAGCACGGGCTGAACCAGGGGAACTGGGAGAGATGACACTGAAACGTGTTCTCCTCCAGCCTGGGAGAACTAGGATGTGTCACATTTCAGTGACACAGGAAAAAAACCCCAAAAACAGGTAAGGAATGACTCAGATATGCAGACTGTCATTGTCCCCAACAAAGAACCACCTCCTGGGGCAGAGGAGCAGCAGGGAGCTCCTCAGCTTGACCACATTCCCTGCAGAGACCACAGCCTTGTCTGGCACCCAGCAGGCCAGGGACCAAAGCCCTGCTCTGCTCAGCCAGATTTTAGACCTCTTGCTTGATTTCATTCTGCTCACAGCCCAAGTTCATGACACTTGGCCACCCTGCTGAATCTTGGGTTGCTTCCAGTGGCTTTATAATGACATGACTGTTATTCTGGGAGACCTGCAGGAAGGCAGAATCCCCTGCAATGAAAGATTTGCAAATGGTGTCAGCCAGAGCTGCAACACGTCCCTCCTCAGGGTCCTGGAGGAGTCTCCCTCTCCATTCTCCCAGGGGAGCATGGGGACAGGGCTCAGGCCAGAGCCAGCCAAGAGCAGATTGTCCCCACCTGATGGGACCCCCCTGACCCTGCACAGCAGCATAAAAATTTGCTTCCACTTCAGTTTCAGCCATTAGACAATCTTTGCATCCAACCTTCCAGGGGGATTTTGGCAAAACCCCTTTTCTCCTCCTCCTCACCACACAACCAGGTCTTTTCCCCCAAAGCTGCCACCCCCAGCAGGTTTCCAGGCCCTGTGCTGGCCCCACACACACGCACCTTTCTTGCCATTGTTGGAGGGAGTGGATTTCCCACTGTCTGAGTTCAGCTCAAAGACTCGTAGGTCCGTCGGTCCTTCCTCTCTCAGAGTCTCTGTCCTGCCCTGGCCTTTGCCCTCTGCCTCTCTGAGCTCTGTAGCAGCCGGTGGCTCTGAGGACGCTGCCGACTCCCCGGCAGGCGCAGAAGGACGAGCGGGCTCGGGGGGCTTTGGCAGGGAGCTGGGCTCCTCCGAGGTGGCCTCCAGCAGCCTCTGGGAGAGGTCTCCGGGCCCGGGGGGTGGCGCTGGGGTCCGTAGCTGGGCGGCAGGCACAGAGGCAGGGTTTGCAATCTGAGTCACAAGGGAGACGCTCTCACTGCTCTCAGAGGGGCTGCCCTCCGCTGGGGCCGGCTCCGGAGGGACGACAGCCCAGCTTTCCCCTGAGGGTCCCTGGGGACCAGTGGGGTGGTCTCCCTCCAAGGCCACAGGGGCAGATTCTCTCTCTGCTGCTTCTGGAAATTTCACGTTTGCACAAGGCAGGGGTGACATCCCCAAGAACTCCTCTGTAGGAAGGCAGAAGAGAAGCGAGAGACGTTTCAGCGACCGCGGCAGCAGCTGTGGGCGCAGCAGGGTTGGCCGCAGCTGGGCTGGGGGCTGAATTTTGGGGGAGTGAGGAGGAGCTGCCATCCTCTCTAACCGAGACCTGCCGAGGTCTGCACGAGCCCTCCCACAGACCCCCAACCCTCTGGACCCACCTTCGTCCTCCTCCCAGCCCAGCTCCTCTTGGTGAACGCTCTGCTCCGCACGCTGCTTCAGAGCCTCCCTCCGGGCTTCATCCTGCAGGGAACTGTGTCAGCAGCTGCTCACAACTCCACGCCCCCTCTTTCCCCAGGCACAAGGACACAGGCAAGGCAGCCCAGATCCCTGCCTTTCCAGGAAAAGCCTCTTCCACCTCTCTGGTTTGCATGAGAGCTCCTTGGCTGGTGTGCCCACCCCCCTCCTGACCTACCTGCTCCAGGCGATGCACTTTGTAGAAGTAGCGCTGCCAGAACTCCGAATGGGAAACGGCTGCTGGGACCTGGAGTGGGAAACAGGGAGAGTCACTGCAGAGGGAGGGGTGCTGCCCTGCCCCCCTCCCCTCCCCAACCTCATAACCTGTGGGAGGCACCCGTGTTTTCAGGTGCACAGACCCAGGACTGAGCCTGAGGTATGCACAGGCAGATGCTCCAACACGCATCAGACAGCTCCAGAGGAACTTCTGCTCCAGGCCTGTGTCAAACAAGCCTGGCAGAATACAACAGGCCACCTAACATCCCTGTGCCAGTCCACTGCTACCATAGGCCTTTCTACCACCAGCTCCAGGGCCTCCCCACACCGTGCCTCGAGTCAGAAGCTGCATGCTCCAGGAGCCTGGCAGGGCCTTACCATTTTGGTGTAGAGAGCCCGGATGGATGGGCTGGTTGCCAGCAGCTCTGCTATCTCCCCTTTCTTCTCCTCAAGGTTAAACTGAGAAAGCCAGGCCTCAAGGAGTTCAGCATGGCCTGGATGGGACAAGCACAGAGGTCTTTGGCACAAACAGGGCAGGAATGGTTTGGGGAAGTTTGGCTGGAAAGATGCTACACATCGGACTAGCTGAGGTGAGCAAGGGGCAAAGGACAAGGGAGATGTGGGTCTGAGCCCACCCCCTGCTGCAGGTCCTCTGCCAACACAATGCCAGACAGCAGAAGTCTGGAGTGACCCAGCAGCTCTCAGTCTAAGGTAGTCCCCAGGGCAAGAGACAGATCTGCTCTCCACAGCCAGTGACCCCACCCGCAGCCACACCAGCGGGCTGCTGGCAAACAGCTCCAGGTAACTCAGGAGCCCACTGACCCCAGATGAGAGCCAGGCTGGCTCCACAGCACCCCCCATACCATCAGGCTCGTTGCAGTAGGTGGCTGGGTCCGACTGGAGGCTGTAGAGGCGAGCCTGGAGGAGGAGAGGCAGAGGGCAGAGCTGTCAGCAGCAGGGCCACAGCAGAACCCCGAGGGGCCAGGGCGTGGGACTCTGAGCTTCACAGAGCCACCCCACAGAGCCTGGCACTCACCTTGGCACTGTCGTAGGGCTCCGTGGTACCCATGGGCGTTGCCATCAGCGTGATGACATCGCAGTCGATGGTCTTATCTGGAGAGGGAGCAAATGTGTCTGAGATGACACCCAGGAAGTCAGAGAGCCCTTTCCGCACCTTCTCAGTCGCGCCGGAGGAAACTTCTGTCCTCTTGGAAGAGAAAAAGCAGCAGGGTGTTAGTACCAGCACCTGCAGCAGCAGCACAAACCTCAGCCTTCCCCAGATGTGGTCCTTTAAGGAAGCAGGATCTCCCTGCCTACAAAAAACAGCACTAATTAGGTGGCCAGGGCTGGGCCAGGAGAAGGGTGTGACAGCAGGCACCAGCCCCGGGTGGCTGTGGGGCAAGCAGGGCTTGAAACAGGCTTGTGGGGAAACTGAGCCTTGGCTTTGTGGGGAAGGACACAGCCAGGTTTGGGGACTGGCTGGTTCTGGGGCTGTCACAGCAGACACCGTGCAGGGTTAAGGCTGAGAGCCTGTGTGGAGAGCCAGTGTCACACTGCAGTGATACTGCCAGTGTCACGACACACAGGGATGCACAGAGACCTCCAGAGCTTCCTCATCATGACAGCAAGGAAACCCCATGCAGTGCTCAGCACCAAGGCTGCACAGGGGAGAGAGCCTGAAACCTGAAGCTCACGGTTATGTGTTGGGGTATGTTGACAGCCCACATCCTAGGGGCAGACCCATCCCCTTCCCCCCAGCTCCCTCACTCCCCCACTCACCGCCAGCCTGTCCTTGACCACGCTGGCCGTGGCAGCGATGGTGCAGGCTGTGTCATGCTGCACGACTTGGGTGAACTCTGCCAGGTCCCGTTTCATGAACTCCAAAGCTTCTGTGGACTGTAAGAAGATGGCATCCACATCGTGTGATCTTTCTGCACTCCCACAAAGCCGAGGTTGCCCCGGGAGCAGCTGGGGCATTGCTAAGTTTAAAGCTTGAGTGTTTAAACCCCGCTGAGTCCTTACCCTAGTTTGTTCAATAAGTAAGTCTAATCACCAGAACAACAGCAGCAGGCAGTTATGCCCAAACCATGCTACAGCAGCATTTCCTTAAGCTAATAAAGGCAAAGACAGGCCAGGAAAAGCCTTGTTCTGAGTTTTGTGTCTAATTACCACAAGCAATTCTACGGGAGGCAGGAAATTACACACCAGAAAGCGATGCTGCAAGCCCCCTCCCTGCCCAGGTAGCCATTTTCACCTCAGCAGACCCCAGCACGGCTCCCCCGGGCCACGAGACCCCAGCGCAAGGCTCAGAGTTCCAACAAACACACCCGAACAACCCCAACACGTCCTGACAGGTCCCTCCCGGGCTGCCCCTCCCCGGGGTGCGGGGCTGGGCCACAGCCGCACA